TTCTGAGTACTCAGTAATCTATGTTGCTGTTGTATGGCTATCAGACAGTGACTTCTGAGTACTCAGTAATCATGTTGCTGCTATATTGCTATCAAATAGTGACTTCTGAGTACTCAGTAGTCATGTTTGTATTATTATCATATAGTGACCTCTGAGTACTATGTAATCATGTTTGTATTATTATCATATAGTGATCTCTGAGTACTATGTAATCATGTTTGTATTACTATCATATAGTGATCTCTGAGTACTATGTAATCATGTTTGTATTATTATCATATAGTGACCTCTGAGTACTATGTAATCATGTTTGTATTATTATCATATAGTGATCTCTGAGTACTATGTAATCATGTTTGTATTATTATCATATAGTGATCTCTGAGTACTATGTAATCATGTTTGTAATACTATCAAATAATGACCACTGAGTACTATGTAATCATGTTTGTAATACTATCAACCAATGACCACTGAGTACTATGTAATCATGTTTGTATTACTATCATACAGTGACCACTGAGTACTATGTAATCATGTTTGTAATACTATCAAACAATGACCACTGAGTACTATGTAATCATGTTTGTATTACTATCATACAGTGACCACTGAGTACTATGTAATCATGTTTGTAATACTATCAAACAATGACCACTGAGTACTATGTAATCATGTTTGTATTACTATCATATAGTGATCTCTGAGTACTTTGTAATCATGTTTGTATTACTGTCATATAGTGATCTCTGAGTACTTTGTAATCATGTTTGTATTACTATCATACAGTGATTTCTGAGTACTTTGTATTGCCACTATCAGCCTTCAATATATGAAAACACTAGTAACTGAAGCCATACGGTAGACCTGTTTGTGTTGTGTGTTCATGTAATGTTAAGTTAAACACTAGTAACTGAAGCCATATGGTAGACCTGTTGGTGTTGTGTTCATGTAATAATATGTTAAACACTAGTAACTGAAGCCATACTGTAGACCTGTTCATGTTCTATGTGTTCATGTAAAGTCAGTGTTTTGAGCTAAATATGAATAACTGATGGTAAAAAGATTATTTTATCATACTTAGAACTACACATAGTGTAGTTTTACAAAGTTAATCTGTCACATATTGAAGAATGTTTGGAATTGTAGTTTCTGTAAGTCAAACTACATACTTTTAGTTTGTAAGAAACTTGGAATATTGGCCATTAGTCATCTAGTTTATTTTTCCAGACTCATCTCTTGGGTTTGCATTTCCTGTGTCTTTAGTAACTCAAGAATGAGCGATATTTGTCTGAGCTTGGACAGAAAATAGCAATTACTTGTGTATGTCTATCATGTTATGTGTATAAGTATAGTTGTGCCAAAGTGTTATTTTTGGAAGGAATATGTTTTGTTATGACAGGAGCATTTAAAATTACACATGCAAAAGATATCTTAATAAAGAGTCTGACATAACATCAGTTATTCAAAATGTTAACAGTTGCTGTTAATATAATCTGTGGATGTTATCTTTCAATAACCTTTTGTTAATGTATCAGTCAATTGTTTATAAGAAAGCCATGTATATAATCCCTACTTGTATAACATCGGAAATTCATCAGTCCTCCTGCAAGTAATAGCTTTAGTGGCTAATGAGTTAAACACTAGTAACTGAAGCCATACTGGTAGACCTGTTGGTTTTAAGTGTTGATGTAATAATATGTTAAACACTAGTAACTGAAGCCATACGGTAGACCTGTTGGTTTTAAGTGTTGATGTAATAATATGTTGGTAGACCTGTTGGTGTTATGTGTTCATGTAATGTTAAGTAAAACACTAGTAACTGAAGCCATATGGTAGACCTGTTGGTTTTAAGTGTTCATGTAATAATATGTTAAACACTAGTAACTGAAGCCATACGGTAAACTTGTTGGTTTTAAGTGTTCATGTACTAATATGTATGGCTTCAGTTACTAGTGTTTAACTTAACATTACATGAGCACATAACACAAACAGGTCTACCGTATGGCTTCAGTTACCTGTGTTTAACTTAACATTACATGAGCACATAACACAAACAGGTCTACCGTATGGCTTCAGTTACTAGTGTTTAACATATTATTACATGAACACTTAAAACCAACAGGTCTACTGTATGGCTTCAGTTACTAGTGTTTAACTTAACATTACATGAACACACAACACAAACAGGTCTACCGTATGGCTTCAGTTACTAGTGTTTAACTCTAAATACTGACTTGGTAGGTTTGAGACCTTTTTAATGGACAGCAACTTCCTGTTGAATTAAAAGAGGATGACATTTAGCTTCTATACTGAGACCTGAATAAGGTCTCGGCATAGAATCCATTGTCCCTTTTTCATTCAACAGTTAGTTGAAGTCCATTAAAGTTCTCAAACCTACTATGCCTAAAGTGCCACTAAAACAACAAACTGACTTACACAAATCTATAACACCAAAATATCTGTTTTATGTATGAGTTAATGGCATTTAACTTGGAATAGTAACTACTTGAATCAAGAACAACAACAACTGTTTTAACTACCAGTTAACCATACTTAATTTATAATAACTACTTGAATCAAGAACAACTGTTTTAACTACCAGTTAACCATACTTAATTTATAATAACTACTTGAATCAAGAACAACGATGGGACTAGCCATAAGTTTTGCATCATAATAATTGCTACTTGGAAAAAAATTAATGCAAAAATTCCTTAGTTCAAACTTACATAAATCTATAACTATCACAGTACTTTTAGTGTTACATGAAATAATAGGATAACATACTGTTTTCACTTTAGAGCCAATAAAATCAGTTATTATTGGCTCAAGGTTTAACTGTTTCTGTTAGAAAATTTGATAAGTATAACCAACTGAAAACCTATAACACTGTTTCAGGAACCACACAACAGGGCTTCAACATGTCATGTATCAGTCTCCAACACAGCATAAGTTTGGAATTCCAGCACCTTATTCTCCATGGCAAGGTCCAAATGACCTCCGAACGTCTCCTCGATTGTCACCTGTGTTGGAAATGGTTCAGAAGTTAGATAGTCTTGGAGCTGAGTTACATTCTCAACTTTCTGGTCTATTGCTAAATGTGATAGAATACAAAGATGTCCTCACAAAAGGAGTTCAAAGGTCATGTAAAACTAGTACCACAAACTAAATACCATTAAATAGACTTTTGGTGTTTTGTGTTTATATAGACACTACCTAAAGCCAAATACAATTAACTGGTAGTTAAAACACTTGTTGTAGTTCTTGATTCAAGTAGTTATTGTAAATTAAATATGATTAACTGGTAGTTAAAACAGTTGTTGTTATTCTTGATTCAAGTAGTTATTATAAATTAAGTATGGTTAACTGGTAGTTAAAACAGTTGTTGTTGTTCTTGATTCAAGTAGTTATTATAAATTAAGTATGGTTAACTGGTAGTTAAAACAAAACAACACATTTACATGCATATCTTTTTAAGTAGATGACAGTATAGAGAATTCTTAACTTTTCATACTGTAGTTAACTTTATAATATATATATTGAAAAAAATATTTTTCTTTCCAATCAGCTACAATATAATATGAATAATTAATTAACTAACTACCTAAAAATCTCTACTAAATCTGACTACAGAAAACTTGTTCAGCTTTTTTAACATGCAGATAGAAGTAAATTATTTGACATCATTGATAAAATGTGTATCTAACAAAGGTGCAAGTCAAAATATTGGTATATTAATGTTGATGTAAATATGTACCACAACAATGATACAAGTTGAAATATTGGTATATTAATGTCAATAAAGTTATGTACCACAACAAAGATACAAGTTGAAATATTGGTATATTAATGTCAATAAGTTATGTACCACAACAAAGATACAAGTTAAAATATTGGTATATTAATGTCAATAAAGTTATGTACCACAACAAAGATACAAGTTGAAATATTGGTATATTAATGTCAATAAAGTTATGTACCACAACAAAGATACAAGTTGAAATATTGGTATATTAATGTCAATGAAGTTATGTACCACAACAAAGATACGAGTTAAAATATTGGTATATTAATGTCAATAAAGTTATGTACCACAACAAAGATACAAGTTAAAATATTGGTATATTAATGTCAATGAAGTTATGTACCACAACAAAGATATGAGTTAAAATATTGGTATATTAATGGTACATAACTTTATTGACAAACTTGTATCTTTGTTGTTAATATACCAATATTTCTGGTACATAACTTTATTGACATGGCATAACTATTTAGTTTAATGTTTGAATGTTTAATCCTTTCTGATCACTTAGCTGAAGTCGGAGCTTGATCAAGAACAGACTCTACGGAGCACTGTTGAATCTTTCATAATAATGGAAAGAAACTCCTCCCAGAACTTCATCACTCACATTCATACTGTACTGTTAAACTCCAATAGTATTGTTGAACAACTAAGGTAATAGGTTTGTGTCTTTATTCATTTGATGTTACTAAACTGACCTAGAAAAATTTTAAAAGTTGGTATAGATAGATATTAATATTTCAGTTTGTATCTTTGTTGTGGTACATAACTTTATTGACATTTATATACCAATATTTTAACTTGTATCTTTGTTGTGGTACATAACTTTATTGACATTAATATACCAATATTTCAACTTGTATCTTTGTTGTGGTACATAACTTTATTGACATTAATATACCAATATTTCAACTTGTATCTTTGTTGTGGTACATAACTTTATTGACATTAATATACCAATATTTCAACTTGTATCTTTGTTAAACCTTTATTGAAAGCATTCTTTCACAACTTACAAATTATATTGTATTTTGAAAGATTCAAGGAGATCCATATCTTAGATTGTGCTGTCTCTACAAACATGTTGTATTCAGTAACTTATAAGTTGTTCCTGGATTCTAATGTTAAATCTAGATCTGCCTTTATATTTTAAAAAAAAAATTCAAACTGTAAATTTGTTGTCTACACCACTTGTGAAGGAAACAGTGAAGTAACATTGCGAACTTTACCAAAAGCTGAGTAATTCAAAAACAAGCTTGTAATCTTAACCAGTGATCAAGATGTAGAATAACCACTAGCACACAGGACAAAACTGTATAGCCAGGATAATCTCAACCAGTGACCAAGATGTAGAAGAACCAATAGCACACAGGACAAGACTGTGTAGCCAGGATAATCTCATAACAGTGACCAAGATGTAGAAGGATCAGTATATCACACAGGACAAGACTGTGTAGTCAGGACAATCTCAGCCAGTGACCAAGATGTAGAACG